AATGCAGATTTCCCAGTGGGAGTGAAACTATTCGACTAAGCCATTAAAAAATAGGGGTGTTTTCATCAAAAAACGAATAACCCTGGAATGCACACAAAATACTGAATTTCGGAACAAATCGTGCATTACTTACAGCAGCAGAATACCACAGAAATATCAGACGAAACATGAAAACACTATATATTGTATTTCGGCCTGAACCCTCTATATTGCAATTCAAGGAATTAACCCCTTATGTGCATCCATTTCCCACCTTGGTATCACCCACCCCTGAAAACAAACTCTTAATACCACGCTGAAGCGTTTGGTAAAAAGTCAGTGAAATCTGATGATATTTTGTAATGGCAGACAACTACTTTATGATAAAAGTCAGTGAAATCTGATGATATTTTGTAATGGTAGACAACTACTTTATGATAAGTCAGTGAAATCTGATGATATTTTGTAATGGTAGACAACTACTTTATGATAAAAGTCAGTGAAATCTGATATTTTGTAATGATGGACAACTACTTTAGACAGACAACCGCCTGAAGTAATAAACATGTTCGGTAGTCTTAAGATGCTTATAGATTAACGTCTAGCGAGGATTTCATAGTTTAATCCCTGATTCCCCCGAGGTGGATATACATAGTTGTGTTTATATGGGCGTTATAACTATGTTGACATTTCAGTACAGAACACGATTTTTTAGGTGAAAACAGGCAGAATCTGTTACAAAAATAACAATCTGCTAAAGGTCAACACTGCTGTCACTCTGGATTTTTCAAATTCCAGTTTTGTTTTCCTTACTTAGTTATCATTCTGAAAATCTCCTAAATAAACGATGGTAACATCTTTGTTGATTTTAGACTTACAGAAACCCCACCTATAACAACAATGCTAGACAATAGACGTGGATTATGTGCCTTTAAAGACTGTAATCTTTATTGTATTCTATTTCAGAGCGCATACAGTGATCCTGATAGTTGAGTCCATTCTATTTGGATTTTTTGTTCTTGCCATTATTTGTGATCAGGTCAGTGTTACTTACATATATTTTTTCTATAAGACGGGGGCTGTGTCATTAATGTTGAGACCATTCTATTTGGACTTTTTGTTCTTGCCATTATTTGTGATCAGGTCAGTGTTACATACATATATTTTTTCTATAAGACGGGGGCTGTGTCATTAATGTTGAGACCATTCTATTTGGACTTTTTGTTCTTGCCATTATTTGTGATCAGGTCAGTGTTACATACATATATTTTTTCTATAAGATGGGGGCTGTGTCATTAATGTTGAGACCATTCTATTTGGACATTTTGTTCTTGCCATTATTTGTGATAAGGTCAGTGTTACATACAATTAATGTTTCCATAAGACGGGGACTGTGTCATTAATAACTTGTCCTTGTATGAGCAACAAAGTTGCATGACACGATTGGTTGAAATATTCATCTCATTTGCATAAATTAATATTAATGAAAAACTCATCTTTTCAGTAAAATTGTGTCAAAATCTTTTCTGATAGCCAACTTGGCAGTGCTAAATTGACTGATTCTATCGTTACGAGCTGAAAAATTAATCGAATAACTGTTCAGTAAAAGTCCAGTAGCTGTTAAAAGTAACCACAGGTTTTTCTTTAATGTGATCATAGCAAGTTACAAAACTCATGGAGTGGTTTCCTTATTCAATCACAGATGGCTGTCTGGTGGCCATTTTGTTTATTAAAAATGTGGTATCTTATGCATGCTTTGTCAGTTTTTGTTCAATTTCAACTGGTAGATGTTTTGTTTTTCAAAAATGTGGTACCTTATGCATGCTCTCTTCAGGTTAATTACACTGAAAACCACAGTTGTGAAATTAGGTATTACATTTCTAAATTTTGATAATGTGGTTCACATAGTTTTCATGTTGTGCATCTCAAATAGCACACCAATATCAGTTGCCAAGCTTCTTGTTTGAAAGATTAATCTTAAATTTTTAACTAATTTTTAATGAGACTCCAATACTTCACAGCACACGGGAGTTCTTTCTAAGTTTTCTTTGATTATGTTGTGTACTGAACATTGAGATTGACTACCAGTGAAATAACATAGAGACTCTGCATTGTTAATATATTTTTTATTTATCCTTAACCATTTCTTTGACGGGGTGGACAGATTTTGTTCATAATTTTCACAAAGACGTGACATAATTTTGTGTCCTCAAACATTAATTCAGGACTAATTTTGTTTTTCTTCCAATTTAGCTATCAGCAATATTTGATGATGAAACTGCAGTGGAATCAATTCAGAAGAAAAACAATGGCTATGTTCGTGTACGGAAATCAAAAATGGTGCTTTTGTCGGAGGTATTTGGGCGTGGCCCCATGATATTTTGGCTTTTTCCCTGCCACCAAGGATCAACAACTTCACATCTTCAGCCTCCGCAGTACGATGTCTGACCCACCGTAATGTGCATTACCACCCCTATTACTTAGTACGTTCCAATGCCTGAACCAATCAGCTACTTCCAAGTAATCCCTCTGTAGTAGATTTCATTGCACAGCAGGGGATAGTTTGGTGCAGGTGACCTAATACTTATTTATTACACTCCATACATCACTGTGATGGCCCTTTTTTCCATTTTCCAAATGTGGCTGACTGTATTTTATATCTTAGATAACCACAGAGAACCACATTGATGTAAACATTTTAAAAATGAGTAAAAAAAAAATACAAACAATTGACATAATATCAATCCAAGATTTTCCAAATTTGCATATAATAACATTTATAAATGATTTGAGTACACCATATTTTGTTTAACCACAAATTGTGGATGCCATTAAATAAATATAATTAGGTAAGCATTCTAAATTATGTCAAGATTTGAAAACCCATTTATTGTGAAATTCTTGAAACTGATTTGTTCCAGGATGGTTGGGTAAATAAATTCTGCTATGAGTCTCTTATTTAAAATAACACTCACTGCATATATTTTCAATGAGTTGTAAAATATATGCAAACATCATTGACTCACTGAATCCCTTACAAATCACTGACTCACTGAATCCCTTACAAATCATCATTGACTCACTGAATCCCTTACAAATCATCATTGACTCACTGAATCCCTTACAAATCACCATTGACTCACTGAATCCCTTCTAAATCACCATTGACTCACTGAATCCCTTCTAAATCACTGAATCCCTTCCATTTCACTGAATTCCTTCCAAATCACTGAATTCCTTCCAAGTCATTGACTCACTGAATCCTCATAAATTACTGACTCACTAAACCCCTTCCAAATCACTGACTCACTGAATCCCTTACAAATCACTGACTCACTGAATCCCTTACAAATCTCTGACTCTCTGAATCTCTTACAAATCACTGTCTCACTGAATCTCTTACAAATCACTGACTCACTGAATCCCTTACAAATCACTGACTTACTGAATCCCTTACAAATCACTGACTCACTGAATCCCTTACAAATCACTGACTCACTGAATCCTTTACAAATCACTGACTCACTGAATCCCTTACAAATCTCTGACTCACTGAATCCCTTACAAATCACTGACTCACCGAATCCCTTCCAAATCACTGACTCACTGAATCTCTTACAAATCACTGTCTCACTGAATCTCTTACAAATCACTGTCTCACTGAATCTCTTACAAATCACTGACTCACTGAATCTCTTACAAATCACTGACTCACTGAATCTCTTGCAAATCACTGAGTCACTGAATCTCTTACAAATCACTGACTCACTGAATCTCTTACAAATCACTGTCTCACTGAAACTCTTACAAATCACTGACTCGCTGAATCTCTTACAAATCACTGTCTCACTGAATCTCTTACAATTCACTGACTCACTGAATCTCTTACAAATCACTGTCTCACTGAATCTCTTACAAATCACTGACTCACTGAATCCCTTCCAAATCACTGACTCGCTGAATCTCTTACAAATCACTGTCTCACTGAATCTCTTACAAATCACTGACTCACTAAATCTCTTACAAATCACTGACTCACTGAGTCTCTTGCAAATCACTGAGTCATTGAATTCCTTACAAATCACTGACTCACTGAATCTCTTGCAAATGACTGAGTCACTGAATTCCTTACAAATCACTGAGTCACTGAATTCCTTACAAATCACTGACTCACTGAAACTCTTACAAATCACTGACTCGCTGAATCCCTTACAAATCACTGACTCACTGAATCTTTTACAAATCACTGACTCATTAAATTCCTTACAAATAACCGACTCACTGAATCTCTTACAAATCACTGACTCACTGAATCTCTTACAAATCACTGTCTCACTGAATCTCTTACAATTCACTGACTCACTGAATCTCTTACAAATCACTGTCTCACTGAATCTCTTACAAATAACCGACTCACTGAATCTCTTACAAATCACTGACTCACTGAATCCCTTACAAATCTCTGACTCACTGAATCTCTTACAAATCACTGACTCACTGAATCTCTTACAAATCACTGACTTGCTGAATCTCTCACAAATCACTGACTCACTGAATTCCTTACAAATCACTGACTCACTGTATTCCTTACAAATCACTGACTCGCTGAATCCCTTACAAATCACTGACTTGTTGAATTCCTTACAAATCACTGACTCATTAAATTCCTTACAAATAACCGACTCACTGAATCTTTCTTACAAATAACCGACTCACTGAATCTCTTACAAATCACTGAATCCCTTCCAAATCACTGACTCACTGAATCTCTTACAAATCACTGAGTCACTGAATTCCTTACAAATCACTGAGTCACTGAATTCCTTACAAATCACTGACTCACTGTATTCCTTACAAATCACTGACTCGCTGAATCCCTTACGAATCACTGACTTGTTGAATTCCTTATAAATCACTGACTCATTAAATTCCTTACAAATAACCGACTCACTGAATCTCTTACAAATAACTGACTCACTGAATATCTTACAAATCACTGACTCACTGAATCTCTTACAAATCACTGACTCATTGAATCTCTTACAAATCACTGATTCACTGAATCTCTTACAAATCACTGACTCACTGAATCCCTTACAAATCACTGACTCACTGAATCTCTTACAAATCACTGACTCACTGAATCTCTTACAAATCACTGACTTGCTGAATCTCTCACAAATCACTGACTCACTGAATTCCTTACAAATCACTGACTCACTGTATTCCTTACAAATCACTGACTCGCTGAATCCCTTACAAATCACTGACTCGCTGAATCCCTTACAAATCACTGACTTGTTGAATTCCTTACAAATCACTGACTCATTAAATTCCTTACAAATAACCGACTCACTGAATCTCTTACATATCACTGACTCACTGAATCTCTTACAAATCACTGACTCACTGAATCTCTTACAAATCACTGACTCACTGAATCTCTTACAAATCACTGACTCGCTGAATCTCTTACAAATCACTGACTCACTGAATCTCTTACAAATCACTGACTTGCTGAATCTCTCACAAATCACTGACTTGCTGAATCTCTCACAAATCACTGACTCACTGAATTCCTTACAAATCACTGACTCACTGTATTCCTTACAAATCACTGACTCGCTGAATCCCTTACAAATCACTGACTTGTTGAATTCCTTACAAATCACTGACTCATTAAATTCCTTACAAATAACCGACTCACTGAATCTTTCTTACAAATAACCGACTCACTGAATCTCTTACATATCACTGACTCACTGAATCTCTTACAAATCACTGACTCGCTGAATCTCTTACAAATCACTGACTCACTGAATCTCTTACAAATCACTGACTTGCTGAATCTCTCACAAATCACTGACTTGCTGAATCTCTCACAAATCACTGAGTCACTGAATTCCTTACAAATCACTGACTCACTGAATCTCTTACAAATCACTGACTCACTGAATCTCTTACAAATCACTGACTCACTAAAAACAAGGTTTTGTTCCTAGACAGTCATTACTTTCGTGATTTAGAAAGTTGTCTTAAATTCTTGATGACGGCTTTGCAAGCGGGTTCCACATCTTGTCATTCTTTACGTCAGAATCGGTACAAAAAAATGTGACCGATTGTCAAGAAGTCTTGTGCTGTATAAAAATCTTCACCCAATTGACAATTTTCCATTTACTGCAAGATCCTGTATTATGCACAAAATTGACCATAAAAACAGGACAAAGGTCATAGTAGCAATGTAGCGATGTCAAAACAATGGATGAGATGTAGCAGTAGTAATTATTGTGGTTATCTTCGTGCTTAAAAATACACATTTGATGAACTCAATTTTGATCTAAGTAAATATGCCATATTCCTCTCTGAAAAATAAACATTTTGACTTTGAACTTTAAAGCAGAGAAACTCAAGTTCAAAATCAAATTGTTTGATTTTTGTGGCAGGTACTGTAGAATACTTTATTTTTGCTTGGAATTTAATTTTGGTATTTTCGCTGAAGGGATGATTCTGTGAAAATAAAATCCAGCGAATATACTTTTTTTCCTATATTTCAAATTCCAAGCAAAACGCCCAAAAGGTCTTTTCAGCGAAAATTATTTCCAGCGAAAATAAAGTCTTCCACAGTATTCGATAGGTGTCTTTTGTACATTTCGTAACATCTGACAGTGAATGGAAATTTGTCTATACTTCACAACTATTATCCCCTTACACAAAATAAATCTTGTACATAATTTTTTTCCACATTCTGATCAAAATCTGATAGTCATTAGGAAATTTTGACCATTTGCTTCAAAATTAGTAAAAAAAAATTACAGGAAAATAAATAAAAAAATTGTCAGGGGGACAATGGTTAATGTCAGTACTGAAAGATTCTTGTTTGGTTTGGAATTGTTGATTTTTGAATGTCAGGATGAATTCTGTTTTTTGTCTATGATTTTACAAGCTTACCCCCAATATAAGGACGTGCATGTAAATCCAAATAGACAGCCTGCATCGTTTACCTGAAGCGTCCTGCAAAAAATAATAGACGTAGGCACATGAAAATGTGAACTGTTGTGGAGGGAGAAAAATGGAATAGATAAATTATGAATGGAACTAATCATGATAAAGTTTATAATGCTGATTCTATTATTGATGAGAAAAAGATAAAATTACAATAATATGTATTTACTATTCATATTCATATATTACAAGGGATATTTATCATGTTTCATAATTAATTTTCAAAATAAGTGGTTGGCTATATAATCTGATCGAGTTTGATTGGCGGGTGGTTATTACGATACATACTTTTTCGTAAAGCGTTATTAAATCTTCAAAGTTTGTGAATTCGAGGGTATTTATGTGACAAATATGAAATTGATGTGAAATGTCGCTATTTTATGTCTGAAAATCTTATGTGTATCATGAAAATGAAGTTACATTACAGTATGATGTTGGGTTATTTTTGATTATGTCTCCTTTTGTTTGTGCCTTTGTTGTGGTTGGACG